CACCCGAGACCATCCCCCAGAGGTGCGCACGAAGCCCTGGTCCTCACGCTAGACCATCCCCCAGAGGTGTGCACACAGCCCTGGTCCTCACCACAGATGTCTGCATGTAGCCCTAGTTCTCTTCCCTAGACTGTCCCTGAGGTGTCCAAACAGCCCTGGCTTCTCTGGGCCAAGAAACCCACTCCTCGGGGCAAGTTTCCCAGAGCCCTCTCATCTGTCTTCCAGATGTCACGGGGGCTGGGCGGGCCTTGAGGGCAGGGCCTTCTCTCAATGGACACCACAGGGTTTAGTGTTTGGGAGGAGTCAGGAAGCCATCCTGGAACGAATGGCTGAGCTCTGGGCAAAGGGAGCCAGAGCAGAGTGCTCCTGGGGCAGGCTAGGGTTTCCCGGGCAGTCTGCTGTTGCTGGGGCCATGAGCCTTCCATCCCCAGCAGCCTCGCCTTCCTCTAGAGTAAGGATACTGTATTCATGCAGGATGAGCTGCACCAGCTTCTCTGAGCACTGGGTCAGGGTGACTGTCGAGTTGAAGGAGATGCCACCGCCTTTCTTGGGCTAGAGGCGGAGAAAACATAGCAAAGCTGCTGATGGAAGCGGCAGAGGTCCAGGTACCTCAGCCTCTGGCCAAAGCCATCCCGCCACCCCCACCACCTCTGGCCTACAGGCTGTGGGGCCTACCTTGAAGTAGATGTTGGGCTTGTGCTTGTTGAGGCGGATGCCCACCGACTCCAGTTCCTTCTCTAGCAGCAACCTAGGCAGAGCCCCATAAGAGCCCTTCACAATAGCCCTCAGGGGCCGGCTCCTGCTGTCCTGGGCTTCCCCAGGGTCTCCCCTGCTGACCCAGATGGACATCACCTCCCTCCTCCACTTCATCCCCGGCCACACTCCTTGGGGCCCAGTCTGCCTGCCCATGCTGCCAAGGAGCTCCTGGCCGGGGCTTGAGCCGGTCCAGCACACTCCGCGGCCCCACCCTCAAGGGGCCCTTCTGTTCCAGGGGAAATGCATTGTGGAGAGGATGTTTAGGCTGGACCACATTAAGTTCAGCCTGCGGACAATCCTGCCATCACCCCCATGTGTGAGGGTCTGCCCCCCTGCACCTCCTTGCCCCTACTGACCTCTGCACCTCTCCCTTGGTGGCATCTAGCATCATGATGACAACATCGGCAGTGCGTGCCACAGCAATCACCTGCCGACCGCGGCCTTTCCCTACACAGGTGGAAGGGATGCGATTACACCATGGTGAGGGTCAGAGACGGCTCCCGCCCACCCTGCTCACAGCCCAGGGCACTCCTCCATGACCTCAGACAGAGGTGAGACTTAGAAACCCCCATCTAGCCCATGGTGCCCCAGATGCTTCTCCTTTGCAGACGTGCCATGGTCTCTGTCACATGCCACCTGGGGCTGTGATTTCCTTGGTATTTTTCTTTAATCTACTTCCTGTTTTATTTATGGAGACTTACTTTAGAAGGAAATGCAACATCACCACCCTAAGCAGGATAATAATAACTGGCATTTTTGAGTGCTGTGTGGCAGGCCCGGGGCTAAATGCATCACAAATATTTCTTAATCATCAAAACTTTCCTGTAAGGTAGGTATCACTATGTCTATTTTACAGATAAGAAAAACTGAGGCTTGATCATAAAGCTAGTATGCATGTTTCAGGATTTGAAATTGAGTCTGTTCTTTCTGCGAAATGGTTGATAGGACCCCACTCAAGGCTGCAGAACTGATCACATGAGACAACATAGGAGGTGCTTAGGGGACTGTTACAAAGGCCAGACCCCATTATGATTAGGCAACCAGAGAAGTCAGCATCTTGCCAAGGTCACACAACGAGTTGGGGACCGAGGGAGCACTGCCAGGATCCAGGCGCTGTAGTTTTAAACCAGGATCTACCTCCTTCTGAGAATGAGTGGGTTGGGCCAGGTGACCTCCCTGGGCAGCTGGGCCTACTGCAAGCACAGTGCTCCTCCCTCATGGTGGCCCAAACAGGTCCAGGTCCCTGAGATTCAGTGTGACACACTGGCTGGGACAACACGTTCCTAGGGCCTGTCACCACTCCCCACCCTGACCCCACCCCCACTCAATTAAGTAGGCAGGCCTTGCTTTGCTGAGCTAGTGGGGGCTGGGAGGGTGCAGACAGGGCACTGGACACCAGGGAGGCCTTAGTGTCAGAGAGGCTGGGCTGGAGCCCTGGCTCAGCCACTTCACAGCTCAGGAGGATGTGGAGCAAGCCATTACCTATCTGCCCCCGAGGTGCACCACCCACGTCACAGGGCCCTTGTGGTCTGCATCAGGCCTGGCCCTTGGCAAGTACACGCCAACTGCAAGCTGTTAACCAGCCCTGTGAAGCTGCCAAAGCCTATTTCATAGTCCCTCACCCACTGCAGTCACCTGCCATCAGAGGTCACAGGGGGTTCCCACCTCAGAATTAAAAAATAAAACAGGCAGGACAATAGGACTAGGAGCATAGTCTGAAGGGGTCAGCTAACAAGTGTCCACTGGCACCCACTGGACACAGTGGAGTGAATGCAGTGGAGACAGGAAGTCAAGCCTGTACTATGAACTGTGTGACCTTGGGTGGGTCATTTCACTTCCTGGGCCTTACTTCCTGGAATTAAGGTGGGGTTGTCACACATGCCATGGCTCCCCCACCCCCAGACTGTATAAGCCCTTTAGGAAGTAGAGACTGAGTGGCCTGTAGTGGGGGCCACTCACCCTCGACCAATCAGCCCTTGACAGCCACGCCCAGCTGCAACAAGTGAGGCCAGTGTGTCCAGCACGTCCTAAGCCCGTGGAGGGGGAAGGGGAGGGGCTGCGTGCCGAGCTCTAGCCCTGCCCCCAAGCCTGCCATTCTGTCCACCCCCACCTGTTCCCTTTCCCACCTTGTGCTGCTCCTTCGATGATTCCAGGGAGGTCCAGCAACTGGATATTGGCTCCTTTGTACTAGGACACAGAGTAAAGGGGAAGGTGAGGATGATGCCAGCTGAGGCCCAACCACTGCCACCCTGGGAAAAGCCTGTCTGAACCCATGACACCTGCGATGGCCCCCAGCTCAGAGGCTATGGGATTCTGGCTTCTGGGCAAAGAGTCTGAGTTCAGAGCCTGCCCCCCACCATGGGAACCCCCACTCCTCATACACATGCACACTCGTATGTGACAGCCATGCGCCCTCCCTCTCCTCTTCTGGTAGCTGGCAAACCTCCACTCACTTCAATGACTCCAGGGATACACGTCAGGGTGGTAAATTCATAGGATGCAGCTTCACTGGCTGTGGAGGTCATTAAGCTCAAGAAGGTGGACTAGGAAAGAAAAAGAGGTCATTCCCCTTAGGCGTCTCATTCCAGTCTCCTTGGAGAATCCTTGTGGGGTCAGGTGCCCGCTGGGTGAGGCAGCAGGGAGATCCCCTCCTTACTCTTGGCCTGCAGACTGAGTGGATGTGAAGAGGACAACTGCTCTCACTTGGAAAGTTACCTGGGGCACCTCCCAGAGGGTCCTGCACTGGAGACCCCTTCGCTCCTCAGTGGCCTCAAGGCCCTTCTTGGTGGACACAGAGACCTGGTTTCTAAACGACTTTCCTACATACACCAAGGGCCTTTCTCTCATTCCACACAACCCTCCAGGCCAGCCTGGGCCCAGAGAGCTCAGAGTAGGCAGCAGTCCAGTAGCACTTGAAAAACTGCAGCCCAGACTTGCTGCTTGCCCAGGGAGGTGAGATGTGCGAGGAGGTAAGAACTTCAAGACTGGGACAGAGAGAGACAGCAGGAGGAAGACAGCTAGGGAATGAGGGGCGGGGGAGATGAGAGGGGGCTAGGGTGTGAAAATTTACAACACGATTTACTTGGGGACTGGACCCACGGCTTGGCTGGGAGAGGAGGGGGGGGGATGTGGGCAAGAAACTACATTCCCTGAGCCTCAGTGTCCTCAGTGTCAAATGGGCACTGCTGCCTCTGCGCACAGGCCTGGAACACACGGAGAGCCCAGCGATGTGTGCTAGGCCAGGAGCCACCAGCAGTGCTGGCAGGGCTGGCAAGGAGAAGCCAGCTGATTCCCAGTTAGGCAACTATCCTAGTCAGCAGGCCTGGAACAAGAAGCCGAGACACTGAGCTGTGACTGGGCCGGCACTGCTGGGACACCACCTCCACGGCTAGGGCGGGACGCTTGGCCACATGCCCACAGAGTCTCAGAACCCAGAATGGGGTAGATGAGGAAGCACACCAAGCCCTCCATATGAGCACTCTCAGCTCTAGGGACCACCCAGAAACCTAGAAACAATGAAAAGTCAGTGGGGTCAAAGGACATGGAAAGACACTGGGCCTGTCTTGAAGGCCAGCCTCAGGGACACCAGCCTGGCCTTTGTGGGTGAGGGTCCTGGGCCCCCACGGTCAGAGAGCCCATATTCCCCACAGGGCCCAGACTCCAGGACGCAGCCCGCAGCACCTAGAGTTGGATTTCTCACTTGGAAAAAGAAGTCCTTGGCAGGCTGGCAAGCAAAATCAAAAGAAAAGGCTCAAACTAGCGAGGAATGACACCCAAGAGTCAGAGCCTGTGACAGCTCCTGTCACCTGGTGAGATAGAGGGCACCATACGGTAGTTAAAGGGCAGACATAAGCCTTTGTCCCACCTCCCAGGAGGGACCGTTGTTCAGGGAACAAAGCAGCCGCCACTGATGAGAGTAAGTATTATTTTAAGAATGTCAGCTAATAAACAAGGAAGGAAGACGAGAACTAGGAAGTCATCATTTTATAACCACGAAGAAAATGGATGCGAGCAAGGATGCTCGAGGGTGTCAAGATTGTTAACTGGAGGCCGATGGGCCTGGATTTGGTATGTTACCATGGTAACACCCCACAGGTTACTTTTCAGTTGCAGAGGGAAATGTAACTTTACAGTGGACAATACAGGCTGCTACCTCCTTAATCCAGTCAGTGGTCCCGGAGGTACAACCAGCTGTTTCCTAATGTGATGCAAACTGAGGTGCCCACCTTCTCTTATGCTGCAGCCTGGCTGATACAACCACCTAACTTGCAGCTCACAGAAATTACAACAGACCGAGGAGCAAGCTCAAGGACATCACAGGAGGCACCAGACAACTCGGGGCACAGAGTTCCTGCAGGACAGTGGTCTGATTTCCCAGCAAGTCCGGCTGTGACAAAAGGAACCATTCTAGATTAAAGCAGACTTAAGGGACAAAATCCAGACCCACAAGTGGCCCCAAAATAGAGCCAAGGATGGACAGACCAGCTACAAGTCCTTTTGAGGTTACTGGAGAAATCTGGTCTGGGCATTCATTGATATCAAAGGATTACTGTTCATTTGTTTGCTGTGATGTAACAGTTTATGGTTAAGAAGGAAAATGTCCCTATTCTCTGGAGATACAAGCTTAAATATTTAGGGGTGCCAATGGAATAGAATTGACAGTCCAGAAATAAACCCACACATCTATGGTCAACTGATTTTTGACAAGGGTGCTAAGTCCATTTGATGGGGAAAGAACAGTCTCTTCAATAAATGGTGTTGGGAAAACTGGATTTCCACATGCAGAAAAATGAAACAGTATCCATGGCTCACATCATACACAAAAACAATTTCAAAATGAATTAAGGACCTAAATGTAAAAACTAAAACCATAAAATTCTTAGAAGAAAATGTAGGGGCAATGCTATCAGGCCTAGCTTTCAACAATGGATTATTTAATATAATAAGAAAAGCACAAACAGCAAAAGACAAAATACATAAACGGAACCTCATAAAAATTAAAAACTTTTATTCATCAAAAGACTTTACCAAAAAAGTGAAGACAAGCTACTGAATGGGAGAATATCTTCAGAAACCATATATCTGATAAGAATCTAATAACCAAAATATATGTAAAACTTAGATAATTTAACAACAAAAAGACAACCCAGTCATAAAATAGGCAAAGGACTTGAATAGACATTTCACCAAACAGGACATTCGAATGGCCACCAAACACATGAAAAGATGCTCATCATCATCAGCCATCAGAGAGATACAAATCTAAACCACTTGACATACTATTTCACTCCCATTAGGATGGCTAAGATTAGAAAACAAAAACAGAAAATAACAAATGTTAGTGAGGGTTTGGGAAAATTGGAACCCTTAACCATTGCTGATGGGAATGCAAAATGGTACAGCCATTGTGGAAAATAGTGTGGCAGTTCCACAAAATACTAAAAATAAAACTACTATATGACCCAGCAATTCCACTCCTAGTTATATACCCCAAGCACTTCACTGCAGCACTATTCATAAGAGCCAAAAGGTGGGCTACCTAAATGCCTATCAACAGATGAATGGATAAACAAAATGTGGTACATACATACAATGGAATACTACTCAGCCAGTAGGAGAAACAGAGTCTTGATACATGCCACAGTGTGGATGCAGCTTGAAGACATTATGCTGAGTGAAATAAGTCAATCATAAAGGGACAAATATCATATGACCCCACTTATATAAAAAGACAAGAAAAGGCAAATGTGTAGAGACCAAAGTTTATTAGTGCTTACCAGGGGCGGGAGGAAGTGGGGAGTGGTTGTTAGGTGCCGTGGAGTCGGTTCTGACTCATAGCGACCCCATGTACAACAGAACGAAACACTGCCTGGTCCTGCGCCATCCTCACATGAGGGGAGAGGGGGATGGTTTACGGCTTATGGAGCACTGAGTTTTGGTTAACAGTGACGGAAACATCGCACTGATTAAGGGTAAGTTTGCGCAGCTGCTTATTGTAAGTGCTGTCAATAAGTTGTACACCTATAAAAAGTTGAAATGGAAAAAAAATATTTACGGGTGAAAGTTCTTGATATCTGTAACTTACTCTCAAATAGATCAGCAAACACACACATACACGCACGTACAGAGAAAGAGCAATTATGGCAAAATGTAAATAATGAATCCAGAAGGAAGGCAGATTGTACTTGTTTTTCAACTCTTCTGCGTGTTCAGAAATTTTTATTACACAGAATTGGGAAAACGAGAACGGACCAGAGAGAAAAACTCTGGAAGCCATGTGTGGAGCGAAGAATGTGGGGTATTCTACCCTTGGGGCAGAGGCATGGCCAGACCGGAGGCCTACTTCAGTGCGGCTGTCAGTGACTTCAGAGTGGCTGCAGTAGAAGGCCCAGAAGGGGTGTGAGCACCCCGTCACTAAAAGTATTCAAGCACAGGCCAGGAACTGTATGTTCCTCACATTTAGGGCAGAGCTGCAAGCAGTCAAGTGGATGGACTATAAATGGTATGGAATAATAGCTGCAGGGGTCTCCATGCCCCCCCAAGTCATGACAGCCTCCACTGAGGTGGGGTTCAGCTGGCCAGCCTTTCACTCGCATCCAAGGGAATAAAAAACACATGGCTGCCCTCCTAACAGGCAGGGCTGGGTTCAGCCTCAGAGGAACTGATGGTAAAGGATGGACACAAACCCTGGGTCCGTGAGGAGCACAGCCGCTCAGGCCCAGGACAGTTCAGGCCCATGACAGCCACAATGAGCAAGGTCTTGGTGGTGAGGAAGATGGGGTGGTGTTCGGCACTCTCGCCAGCCCCCAGTCTATACACTCGAAGTCCCTACTTTCTCTTTCCAGGAAGCAACGCTGTCAGGGCCCAGGACCACTCCTCTGGCACCCACTGTGTGTCGCCCATTTCTGTATCCTGAGAAGGAGCACAACCCTTTCTCGGTGCCTTTAGGTGTCATTAACACCACAGTTCTCCATAGGCCACCTGAAACCGCCTGTGCTCGCTATTTTGTTTTCCTCTCCCCGGACCTCTCCGGCTGTCACTGCTGACTGCTCTCTATGTGCCTGTCCCTACCTGACTCCTCCCAATACCTGGATGGCTTCTCACAGCTTGCACTAAGTTGGGAAACCGAGAGAGCCAATTTGGTGAGCATTGTGTATAACCTAGTAGCATCAGAAGCTGTCTAAATTCATGAGGGGGAAGGAAAACCAAGATCAGCCCAAAGCTGGTTCCTAAGAGGTGGACGTCAGACATACCTCCACTCTCCAACTTTTTCACCTTTTCTGACACCAGCTGACCCCCACCCCATGGCACTCTCTACTTCTCTGCTGGGTTCAATAATTCATTGCAATGACCACACAGAACTCACAGACCATACTCATGATTATGTGGCTTATTAGAGAAGTAACAGGCTACTACTTGGGATCAGAATCAACTTGGAAGTAACAGGATACAACTCAGGAGACAGGATTCAGTTCTTCAAGCAGGACAGCTTGCTTCACGTTCTTCTTGGCTGTGCCCGTGGGCAGGCCTTGTCTTGGCAATGTCCACCACCAGACCTTCTCTCCTGGCCTTGCCCACTGCCAGGCTTTCTCTCTCGGCCGTGCCCACCCCTGGGCCTTCTCTTGGGCTTTTGCCTTGCTTGGGCAAGTGTTATTTGGCTTTGTTAACAAGTGCCTGGAGGCAGCCCACTCTGCCAGAAAGTCTCCTGACCAAAGGTGCTCAGCTCTCTTGCTCATGGGTCGGCAAGACCACCACAGCTGTCTTGCACTGGTCTCCTGGTTCATGCCACTCCTACCGCTGCACCCATCTTGCATTATCTCTAGCTATCTTCAGTGCTACGGCTCTCTCTCCTGTGTCTAGGAGATTCTCAGCGCAGGGACCCGGGTCCAAAGGATGCACTCCACTCCAGACTCTTCTTCTTGATGGTAGTGAGGTCCCCCTCAACCTCTATGGGTTTAACCCTTTTATAAACCTATTCCTCTCACTAAGGTCATGAACTAACCAATCCCTTCAGTAGGCCACGGACACCTAATTTGCATACCAATCGACCAATCCCCACAAGGGTTTTATACACCCTGTTTGCATAGCAGACTAACCAATCCCTTTGCAAGATTGGCCCAGCAAATCATCCTGGCAGAACTTACAAACCCAGGGCAAAAAGGCCATACATAAAGAGAAACCGGTTGCACTGCAGTGTATCACACTGGAGTAACTCATCTCCAAGTCAAGGTCTGATGGAGCCCAGGGGCTTAGCCACACCTATGCTGATGTCCAGAGTCTTTTCTTGTTCTCTTAGGATGCACAGGATTAGGGTGTGGGAAACTGGACTTTCAGTCAAGTGGGTAAGATACCTGCCTGTTCAGGGTACTAAGGCACTAAGTCTACCACAACTAGCTCCCAACGTGTTTATAACTTTCATTTATGGCTATTTTTCCATCCTAACTCTACCTGGCTCTGTCTGTGTGAAAGGAGATGACCTCCTGCCTTCCCCACAAGGCCCACACAGAGAACAATGGCCATCACTGACCTTACCCACAGAGGGAAATCCAATTAGTGCCACGCGGGCATCGCCTGACTTCATCACGTCGAAGCCCTCTCCTTTGGACGAGGCCGATTTGGACGGTTCCAGGAGCTGAGCCCGATACTTGGCCAGCTTTGCTTTCAGTAGGCCCAGGTGATACTCGGTGGCTAGACGGCAAAAAGTAAGACAAGGAAGGTAAGTGTTCAGGGTATCCGAGCCCCATGGGTCAGATAAGGCCCCTATGTGAGTAGGTGCTGGCTGGGAACACTAGAATCAGACAGCAATCTGTGTTGAGGAAGCCATACACTCTGCTTAAAGTGCCCCCACTTCTCACTTCCTTTAGAATAAACCCAGGCTCCTTGCGAGACCTCACGGCCCTACACTGGTGGTTCTCAGCTGGGGCAGCACCACTCCCAGGGCTCTCTGCAGACACCAGGGAATGTTTCCCATGTCACTCAGACAATGAAGTTCCCTGCTGGCATTCAGCAGACAGGGGGCAGGGAAGCCAGTGGCCCTACAAGGTCTGAGTCCATCCTGCACAGCCAAGAACCATCCCAAGTCCCACATGACTTTTCATGTCCCCTAAGACACCAACCAGAAAGCTCCTTAGAAGCAGGATGGTGAGACTTTGGCTGGCCTACTTTGGACACGTCATCAGGAAAAGCCAATCACTAGAAAAGGGCGTCAGGGTTGGTGAAGCAGAGGGTCAGAGAAAACCAGGGAAACCCTCAGTGAGATGGACACAGTTGCTGCAACAATGGATTCATACCAATGATTATGAGGATAGCACAGGACCCGGCAATGTTTCGTTCTGTCGTCCATGGGGTTACCATGAGTTGGAGCCAACTCAATGGCAACTAACAATAAGACTCTCACAGAGGCAATGCCTGGTTTCAGATCACCGGAGCCTAGGGCATTTTTTTTTCATATTTTTTTTATTGTACTTTAGATGAAAGTTTACAGAACTGACTAGCTTCTCATTAAAGTTATTACACATATTGTTTTATGACATTGGTTAACAACCCTGTGGGTCAACACTCTCCCTTCTCGACCCTGGGTTCCCTATTACCAGCTTTCCTGTCCCCTCCTGCCTTCTAGTCCTTGCCCCTGGGCTGGTGTGCCCCTTTAGTCTTGTTTTGTTTTATGGGCCTGTCTAATCTTTGGCTAAAGGGTGAACCTCAGGAGTGACTTCATTACTGAGCTAAAAGGGTGTTCGGGGGCCATACTCTCGGGGTTTCTCCAGTCTCTGTCAGGACACTAAGTCTGGTCTTTTTTTGTGAGTTAGAATTTTGTTCTACATTTTTCTCCAGCTCTGTCTAGGACCCTCTATTGTGATTCCTGTCAGAGCAGTCAGTGGTGGCAGCCAGGCAGCATCTAGTTGTACTGGACTCAGTCTAGTGGAGGCTGTGGTAGTCCTGGTCCATTAGTCCTTTAGACTAATCTTTCTAAACATAGGGCATTTTTGGTAGTTTTAATATATGCTGAAATTTCCAGGCGTATGTCAAGGGAAGACTATGTTTTGTTTGAAACTTGACCTAGAGCTGCTTGCTGTTTTGGAAAACCATGCTGCCAACAGTGATGCCTCTTGTAGGGTAGCCAAGTCACGAACACAGGGGGCCTGCATTGGTCTGCACCGTGGCTACTACCTTCACAGTGATTCCACCTGGAGGTGCAAGCATCTGACAGCTTCGTTATCTCCCCCAGTGTGAAATAAAACGATTCCTATTATAAATTATTTTTCTTTTTCTCTTCCTTTGTATTACACTTAGAGCACTATGTTGATTTTTAAAAAACTGTGTATGCACATAAATTATACTATTAATTGAGAATTTCATTTCAGGACAGTAAAGGAGGTGTTACAAAATCTTTGCTATAAAAGGGGGCACTTGTCTGACAAGATTGAGAAGCAGGGCATTATGTGACCCAGCCCCTGGCAACTTCTCCAACCACATCTCCTACCACTCTCCCTTTGTCCACTACATTCCAGTCACAGCCACTTTGCTTTTTCGAAACATGCCGACCTCATTCCTACCTCCGAACCTTTGTACTTGCTGCTCACTCCATTTCAACCTGGCTCCTTCTGGGGAAGTAGTGTCACGCAGAGATTGACAGCCTGTACTCTGCAATCAGCCTGTGTCTGAATCCCATCCTACCATGACTGGTCATTTTACTTTGAAAAAGTTACTTAATCTTCCTGTGCCTCAGTTTCCTAACCCACAAAATATGAATGCTAAGGGCAATATATACTTCATTGGATTTTCGTAAGGATTAAGAGTAATACTTACCACATAGTAAACCAAAAGCCAAACCCATTGCCGTAGACTCATAGTGACAGAGTAGAACAGGACAGAGTAGAACTGCTCCATAGGGTTTCTAAGCAGTGGCTGGTGGATTCAAACTGCTGACCTTTTGGTTAGCAGCCATAGCTTGCCATAGCTCTTAACCACTGCGCCACCAGGGCTCAAGCACATAGTAAGTACCCAATAAAGGCTGGCTATTATTACTACTATTGTTACTTACAGTAACCACTAAGGAGCCCTGGTGGCATAACAGTTAAGCGCTCGGTTGCTAACTGAAAGGTTGGTGGTTCAAACCCACCCAGTGGCTCAGTAGGAGAAAGACCTGGCAATCTATTTCTGTAAAGATTACAGCCTAGAAAACCCTATCAGAAAGTTCTACTCTGTCCTATAGGGTTGCTATGAGTCAAAATCAACTCAACAGCACCTCACAACAACATGAGGGTAGGTAACCACTTAGAAGAAATACAACCAGAAAGCTCCCTAGAAGTGATGGTGAGGCTTTGGCTCGCTTATTTTGGACACATCATCAAGAAACACCCATCTGTAGTAGAAGACATCATGTTTGGTAGAGGGTCAGTGAAAATGAGAGAAACCCTCAGTAAGATGAATTGACACAGTGGCCCCAACAGTGGACTCAAGCATACCAATGATTGTGAAGATGACGTGGGACCAGGCAACATTTCCTCTTGTTATACATAAGGTTGACATGAGTCGGAGCCTACTCGACAGCACGTAACAACAACACAGTAACCACCACAACCCCTGCCTCTCTGTGATCCTATTTTGTCTTCTCGGCACTTATCACTATTTGAAGCTATCTTTTTCTTTATGTGTCTGACTCCAGTAGGGCAGGAAATGGGACTGTCGTAGTTACAGTTGCATCCCCAGTGCACAGGGCGATGTTCAGGAAATGTTTTAGCAAGTGAATATCACGGTCAAGAACGGGCAACAGTCAAGCTCATAGATTCCTCCCTGTCATCCCAGCTTATAAGATTCTGAGCATCTCTGAAGGGAAGGACTAGGTCTTAATCACCTCTACATCGCCCTCCTCGTTCACCACTGCCACCACCTAAGCCAAAGCTGCAGCATGTCTGCCCCTCAGCCCCAACCCAGGCTGCCATACTACTTCCCTTGACCCCTATAGATGACACTCCACACTGCATACGGGAGAAACTTTTAAAACAGACCAGATCTTGTCTCTCCCCTGCTTAAAACCCTACAATGGCTCCCACTGCTTAGAACATAACCCAGAGTCCTCCCCATGGTCTGTGAGGCTCTGTAGGACTGGCCCTCCCCGTGGTCTGTGAGGCTCTGTGGGATTGGCCCTCTCAGTCTCGACTATGTCCTCTCCTCTCCTCACTGCATGGCAGCCACAGACCTTCTGATCTTTGAAAAGCCAAGCTCGTTCCTGCGTCGTGGCCTTTGCACTAGCTTTCCTTCTGCCAGGAACAGTCTTCCCCCAGGTCTCTGCATGGCTGGTTCCTTCTTTTCATTAGGTCTCAGCTTAAATGTCTCCTCTGCATGGTGTTCTTTTCTGATCATTCAACCTAAGCAGGACCACTCACCCGCTCAATACTCTGCTGTATCACCCTGGTTTATCTTCACCACATTTATCACTGTGGAATTATCTTGTGTATTTAGTTAGTAGTTTACAGATTATCCACTGGAAGGCCAGCTCCATGAGGGCTGTTGTGTTCACTGCTTTAACTGCAGTACATAGTAAGGGAGCAGTAAAAATTTACAGAAGAATGATAAAAGAAAATGCTGAGACTCAGTCTCCCAACTCCTCGGCCCTCAGACCTGAAAGGAGCCAAGGGAGGACAGACATCGAGATCAGGCACCTAGTGGTCCCTGCTTCCTACTCCTGTAATGCTGAACCACACAGCAGGAATGGTCAGGCACGGGGCCTCACCCACCCTGGCCTATTGCATCTCCCTCTGTCGGACCTACAGTCCCTCCTGCGATCTACATGGCTCTCCTCCCTGTCCCATGAACACACCATGCTCACCTGACTCCAGTGCCTCTGCCTCAGCAGTGCCCCTCACCTGAAATATCTTCCTTTCAACCAGTTCAAGTTCGGCCTCCTCCTGGAAGGCTTCTTGGGTTTCACCAGCGTTCTCTCCTCATCTCTTCTCTGAGCAACTCCACCCCTTATAATCTGAAGCCAGATTTGGGGCTTCAATATGTGCTCTCTCTGCTGGGGTGTTTACTTTAAATACTGAGTGCTCACCATGCGCCCAGTACTTTGCAAACACTACTTAATTTAACAGTGCTGTGAGCTAAGTTGGGCAAGGGGTTACTATCCCCATTCGCAGATGAGCAAACTGAATCTCAAACAGGTGAAGTGACTGTCCAAGGCTTCATAGCCAGGGTCAACCCCCAGACCTGTCAGACTCCAGCGTCCTGATTCCCTCCACTCCACCTCGCGGGCTCCCAGCTGCTGGGTGCAGCTGCTCCTAGGAGAGGTCTCTTCCGGGACTTTCCGGCACGACGTCCTCAGGCCCAACCACTAAAAGACCCAGGTTCGAACCCCGGCCCTGCCTCTCTGTGGGTTAGGGGCTTGCTCTGTGAGCAGGGATTTCTCTGGTCGGTCTCCGGTCTGGCATTGCGCAGATCTCCCAGGTGCGGTTGCAGTCAGACCGGGGCATGGGACCTGCACCCGCCTGGCCCTGCCATGGGGGCGCTAGGAGGCCTCGGCCCCTCTCTGGCACTTCTTCGCGGCCCCCATTCTGCAGACAGGAAAACTGAGGCGGGCAGAAAAGAAGGCCCCGCAGGGCCAGCCCTCACCCTTGTTCTTCTGCGTCCGAGCGATTTCCTTCTCGATCTCCGAGATCTTCTCCAAAATCCCCATGGCTGCGGTTAAAATGGGCCCGGCGGCGGTAGCTGCACCGGTAATTTCAGCCGGAAGGCGGCGGTGGAGCAGCGCGCGCCAGGAAGCCCACTGAGAAACACCGTCCCCGTGGCCGCCCGGTGCTCTGGAATTCAGAGTCCGGGCGGTGACGTTGAGCGGAGTGCCAGACACTCTCAGTTCCGCCCGATAGCGCGGCCGTCCTGGGGGCCGCTACGATGGGTCGGGGAGAGGTCAGGCCGGGCAGGGGCGGGGTCGTGAGACGCAGGGGCGCAGCATAGAAGTGCTGTTAGCCTATTTTGAGTCCTAAATTGTGGGTCCCCGGGAGCAGCAGTCTTTGGTGGCGAGGAGAAAAGGTTCTGAGTTGAAAGCCTGGTGGCCACGCCTGTCATTTCGTGTAGAGGTTAAAAGCTGGTCCCCATTATCACCGTAACCGAGTGCTGCAATTTAGCATTACTACCAAAAACGAGACCCATTGCTGTCCAGTCGAATTCCGACTCATAGCGACCCTATAGGACAGAAGAGAACGGCCCCATAGGGTTTCCGAGGCTGTAATGTTTACGAAAGCCGACTGCCACATCTTTCTGCCGAGGATTGGCTTGTGGGTTTGAACGGCTGACCTTTCAGTGAGCGAATCGCTTACCCACTGCGCCACCAAAGCTCTTTTCCTCGGTAAAGATTAAAACCAAAAAAACCAAACCCATTGCCGTCAAGTCAATTCCAACTCATAGTCACCCTGTAGGACAGAGTAGAACTGCCCCATAGAGTTTCCAAGGAGCCTCTGGTGGATTCAAATTACCGACCTTTTGGTTAGCAGCCGTAGCACAGAACCACTACGACATCAGAATTTCCGTCGGTAAAGATTACAGCCTTGGAAACACTATGGAGGGCAGTTCTACTCTGTCCTATTGGGTCACTATGAGTCAGAATCGACTCAACGGCAATGGGTTTGGTTTTTGTTTTGGATTATGTAAGAGAATGCCTTAATTCTTAGCAGAATGCAAGCTTAAGTATTTAGGGGCAAAAGGTCAATGATATCTGTATCCTACTGTTAAACGGTTCAAAATCTGCATATATTCGAGAAAGTGTGCTAAAGTAAATGCGACTATACACTAACAATTGTTGAACCTGGGAGGGGGCATGTGGGTTTCATTGAAATATTCTTTTTTTTTTTTTTTTTTAGTGTAACAACATAATTATTGTGAGTAGATATGATTCAAATTGGGTAGCATCACCCGAACATTTCAAGAAGGGGCTTCAATGAGAGAGCAGTGAAAGCAGGTTATGCAGGTCATTGTTATGTTAATTTCTCAAGAGACAGCATCAAAGCACAGGGCAGGTTACAGAGACAGTCAACAAAGACACACCATACATCCCAAAACAACCTCTAGTCAGACCCTGGAGTTCTTGCTTCTTGAAGCTGCCTGCACATAGATAATTTTCCAAGAGAACTCAATGCCTAAGGCCAAACGTCTCTGCTAAGCTGCTTACTAAGCTATTGTTTGACCTGAACGTGACTCCAGGGAACCAGTTCCTTCAAGGTTCAAAAGGACACCTAAGGGCGATGGCATGCAAAGGGTACCCCAATTCCATGAACCCAGAAATCCAGATTCTAAGAGAATCAAAACAATTTTGTCATTTCCTCCTTCTGATCATGATTCTGCTATAGAATATGTGGTCACAGACATTCAATAACTGTAGCTGGGCACCATCTGATTCTCCTGGCATCATGGCAAAGGAGACAGCTGTTAATGGAGTCTAGTTCGTCATTCACCTGGCTCTCCTTTCTTCGGCTGCTCCAGACAAAGAGACCAATTGTTACACGTTGGATGGCCACTTGCAAGCGTTTATGTCCCCAGACACTACATATTGAACTAGGAGATAGAACAGTATTAGACCAATTGACTGAAATGACCCACGAAACGATGGCCCTAGGTCTCTGAATCAAATCCCATGAGGTGTTTGTTTATACATAAGCAGCATCAGTAACTGCTTTTCCTGTGCCTCAGCGGCAGCTACGATCTGCAAACCCTCAGATTTCGTATTAGTGATATAAACAAGCAATGTTCATCTATTAAGGCACAAACTCCCCCTTGGGAGACTGTGATGTTAAGACTGTATGTCAACTTGACTGGGCCATGATTCTCAGTGTTTTAGCAGTTGTATAATGTTGTGATCACTTCCCTGTTGAAATTTGATATGTGATCACCCCCATGATGGAATCTGCTGAGTAGTACCGGCAGGGGTGGGGCCTATGGCAGCTCACCGCCCCCTCAGCTTCATCTCTCTGCCTTCCGCCAGTTGTTTTCTGCCTGCTCGCCTTACCAAACTTTTAGACTTGTTCCAGAGTCAGAAGCTGCCTCTTGTTGTCTCACCTCCGTTCTTGGGACTTGAGCTAGCAGCTTACCTGTTGATCTTAGAATTCATCAATCTTCACAGCCTGTGAGCAAGAGTCCGGTTCCCTGAACTGCCGATCTGGGATCCGGCAGCCCCTGCAGCTACGTGAATCAGGAGAAACCTTGCGGTCTTGTCTGATATCTTGGAATTCATTGACCTTCACAGCCTGTGAGCGGGAGCCCCTCTCCGACTTGCCAACCTTGGGTTCACCAGCTTCTGCGGCTCCAAGAATTGGGAGAGGCCTCTACCCTGATCCGTGGACTTGGGATATTTTAGCCTCTACAATTGCATTAGCTGTTTCCTTGATATAACTCTCTCTATATATACGCTTATACGCTTTATTGGTTTTGCTTCTCTAGAGAACCCAGCCTAAGACAGAGACTAATAGGAAATCTAATGCTATTCTATTTTGTAAAATCACAGCTCGAACTTCAGATACTTCTCTTTATGGTCTCTACAACTTTGCTAAGTTTATCAGCAGAAACTTCCAATTCAAGAGTTACAATATCTAAACCCATTTAAAGTCTGATGATTTCCTTTAATGCAAGAATCAGCTATTTCAGTAACTAATAGCACTGTGCTGACTATTAGCTGGCTATAAAGATTTTTCTCATCTCCTTATTCTTCTTTTAATCTTTTTATTTTTTTATAATTTTTTTATT